TTGCATTTTGAAGGGGTGGGGGCGCTTTGCCGAATGTGACCCCAAATATAAAAATTGCGCAAAAGTGGGGGGTGGGCGCTTGCCCGGGCATGGGCGTTAACGTGGTCGAGTACGGTAAATGAATGTATTTTTGGCAAATTTACATAATATTAACATTTGTTTTTTTATATATTTTTATATTGAAGTGATTTACAGTATAATGTTTTTGGGAATAGCAAATAGTGTCTGTAAAATAATGTTTTTGCTTTGACGACTGCCAAATATATACCTTTAAATCTATCAGTTTCTTTATCTCTTACCAATCGCACTCCTTTCACCTAAGAATACAAAGAATATATGTACAGTAAACTGAACACTGCAAACTGAAAACCTGCATATACTGAACTCTATGTAAATAGAAAAGCAGCCTATACTGAACCCTGTGTAAACTGAAAACCTGTGTAAAGCTAGGGTAGGTTACCTGCACTATACCCTAATTAAACAAGGTTAATTATGCTAGCTAAACATTAAAACTGCACCTGTGACTTAATCAGTAAGGAAATAAATAGCTAATTAGAAAATTGATTTCTGGTGACAGGGGTTTGATTTACCGATTTGCTGTGTCTGATCTTCCACGGCAAGGTCAACGATGAAGGACGGTCACAGATGTAGTCATTTCTCCAGCACTCCGAGTATTACTTTTACATCAAAGCTGATTTAAAAGTGATGATAGATTTATTGACTGTGATTTCAATTTGTGATTCAATTTCATCACTGCTTTCAAGCAGTCTCGGTTGACCTAACTTGCCTTGTGTTTTTCGATAATTCTAGTCTAGTGTGTCATGTTTATTTGCTTTCTACTTTTGAACGCAACAAAAACCAAGCTTCACACTTCATTTCAGTCTGCTAGCAAGTGCCAATTCTGTTTTATTGTTATGTTTAACATGTTAATGAATGAACACCAGAAATAGTAAATGTGTATAACAGATTCACAATAAAACTTGGTGGGACATAAGTTATAGAGTAGTGGCCCGCTATGCTAAAACGCTTTGGAGAGAACACTGCACATTGAACCCTATGTAAACTGAAAATCTGTCTGCACTGAACCCTGTGTGTAAACTTAATTAAAATCTACAGTGAACCCTGTGTAAACTGAAATTTGCCTACACTGAACACTTAAAAACTGAAAACCTGCCTGCACTGAACCTTGCATTAAGAAAAAACTGACACGAGAACAGTGGACCCTAAAATATCTGCCTGTACTGAATCCTGTAAAGTGAAAACCTGCCTGCACTAAATCATTTACTGCTGAGAAAACTAGTACAGGTTAGCTAAAATGGTAGCTCAAAAAAAATATCTTTTTATAATACATGCAACATAAAAACACAAGTATTCAAAGGAAAGAAAGCAGAACATTTGTACTTACCCGCAATGAGCTAAATATATGATCCAAATCACCCTGGACACAATTTTGTGGAAGGTTGCCTACAAAAGCAGTAAAGGGAGGCTCTGTAGGCATAGTTTTAGGTTGTCTAGAACCTCCTCCACCACCTCCTCCTCCATATCCTCGTTGACGATTATCGTAGCCACTACAAATAAGTCAATATGAAACATTAGACTTGTACACAGTACATGTACTACACAAGATTCTAAATGGTACTTTATATATCAATATCCAATACTAATCACAGCTAATGAATTTTAATTAAATTAAACAGATTTTAAATTAGTGACTCATTTATAAAACCACATGGGATATTTTATTTATGGTTAATAATGATAGCGAGATGGTGATTATAGATTAGTAATGAATTCAACCCCATGCTTTCTTTGGCCGCATATATCATTCTAACACGAATGCAGTGGAATAGCAAGCATACATGCTAATTAGTTAGCAATGTTGCTTTCATGCCCATGGTGTGCTGTGTATGATTCACCATTTCATAGGAGGATCAACAATATGATTTGCAAATCTAATGCACATGTTTAATAATGATTCTTCATTTTTTCTTTTATCTACATTGTATGTACCGGTAATTTAAGAAATATTAAAACATTTCAAAACAACCTGTTTGTATATTCTAAAGAATGCATTTCATATCGAAAAACTGTACTTTATTCTCATCTAGTATGATAAACTATGCGCATGTTAATGGAACAGCGCCGTCAACTACCGGTAGATTAGTAAAAAAAACAAAGTGTTTTGCAAAGTTGCAAACTATTTGCTAACAGACTTTCTGCTTACACTATTAAAACCTTTCTAAACTGAATACTAAACTTCTTTAGTCATGACATTCAAAACAAAATAAAACATTGTTTTGCAAAATCATAATTACGAGGTACCGGTAAATATCTATTTAGCATATTTCATTGCTGGTGTTGCCAAGTCTGGTCTGTCGTCTTTAGAGAAAAACACAAAGCATTCTCAATGTAGAATAAATTAATGAAAATAAACTCTCGAAAGAAGGTATTCAATTTATTTCATTGTTTTCACATAAGTGATAAAACAAGTACAAATTGTATCATTTTAACACTAAGTCAAAAATATTGAATGAAAATTTTTAAATCATTTGATCATAAAAAAAATGCAATCTGTCAAAGAAAGTAGTATTAGTAATTTTATTACCACAAACCATATTTGTAAAATGAAATTGATTTGCTAAATTTATTTGAAAAAACAAACACACGCATACTATTTTTTTCCAATATTGGGAAAATTGACATATTTATTGATTCCATGTGGTTAGTTTTAAGTTCAGTCGAGTGTCCAGCTGGCAAATGGCAACGAGGCGATTTTTCCCCTCCAGAATTACAAATCCCACGCTCGATGAAACCAAATAATAAAATATCAGGAGTTAAGAACATGAGCACGCAATTGAACGTGATTGGAATTCCTGATTTTGATAATAGTGAGTGATTTTTTTTAGCTCTGAATGACATGTCGTCAAAAGAAACCCTGTGCAAGGAACACCTCGTGAATGGACTCGGTCTCAAGTTCAATGACCAATAAAAGAAACGCATTTTTTCATTGAGAAATTAGCCAGGGAAGGTGTTTTTTTGCGTCTGGTGATAGCCCATACTTCAATGGTTAGTTCTGACAGAAAAAATGAAAATACGAACCCATATCGCTGCTGTCCCCCTCCGCCGTATGATCCACGGTTATCATCGTATGAGCCATAGCTGTCCGACATCTTGGATGCAGCACATAACCAAGTAGGTTAGTTTGTTTCTACATATTGCCACTTCCGTTTCTCTCCTCCGAAGCAGTAACCTCTAAGTGCCTCATAAAAAATCAGTGCAACAAAAAGTATAGCAATAAAACAGTCATTTTAGACCGAATAAATTATTACAGTAGCATTTTCAATTACAAAAAAATAATAATTTATTAACTGAAAACAAGATATAAACCCCCAACTGCTGCCAGAATTAACCAACATTGCTTAAAATTCAACTTTGACACTAATAATCACCCTCTTAGAGGACCTTGAAACCTTGCCTTGGGTCCGCCATCTTTCATGTTTTCGTTCACGTTTTCTGCACATTTTGCAATCTATCCGTAAAAACTACAGAATACTTGCTGCATTTTATTTGTTGTTGAATGTGAATATTGCCACCATGTATCAACAACCTGCTAGTCAGGCGAACAGGATTACGCTGGACGATTACAACAGCGATTTGCACATTTCAATTGGGCCCGATGGAGTGACTGGATGGGACATGCACGACAAAGGCTTTGAGTACTTATGGGCTGGTGTTCGCGCATCACACGGTGTAGCGCGTGGGAAGGTACGTACCGTTACACGTGGAAAATGAACATAATTAATAAAATCATTTTTTTTAACAGTGATCATCTTGGTATATGGTACAATACGAAATAAGCAATAATCAATTTGGTCACCACATTCATTTGACACTGACAGTTCTCATTGTTTATTGGTAGTTGGTACAATGGTTTGTCTAATTACAATTTATTAACGCCGTGATCCATATATATTATATAACGCGATTAAAACTGGGAAAGAGTTCCTTTTGCACCCTTACCTCTAACACTGCCCCTACTTCGACCCTCCAGCGCTCTCTAATTTAATTGTATAAGTCCCTCTTAAGAAGAATTTACAATTGAATTGGGGGAGGGGGGGGGGGGCTTGGGTGAAGAGTTAGAGTGCAAAAAAAAAACTATTTCCACTATGTTGCATTAAAAAAAACTGTTTTCAAATTTTATAATGTTTCGTTCAAATTCAATTGAGACAACTGGATTGGCTATTATAATTTTTTGGTGAAAATAAGGCATATTTTAAGGATTCCAGCAAACATTAAAATTAAAGGCTATTTTAGTGTATGCACATTTCTCTTAAATACAGTATTTATAAATTATTTATTATCAATAATTATTCCATGTTTTATTTCTTCATAGGTATGCTTTGAATGTACAGTGGTGGAGAACTCTCCAGTTGATATGCCAGACACAGAATCTGCCAAGCATGTTTGCAGAGTAGGGTGGTCAGTACATAGTTCTAACAGTCAACTTGGCGAGTCAAACCTTTCCTATGGCTATGGTGGTACTGGAAAATCATCATCAAATAATAAGTTCTTGGATTACGGTCAACCGTATGGAGTTGGAGACACCATCACCTGTTATTTAGATTTGGAAGCCAATCCTAAGGCAATTTTTTTTGCAAAGAATGGACAATATCTTGGTGTTGCTTTCAATTTAGGCCCAGAAATCAATGGAAAAACCTTGTTTCCTCATATTAATGTGAAAAACACAAAGTTTGAAGTAAACTTTGGAGACCGATCACCAAGGTTTCCCCTAACTCCTGGTTTCCAGATGATTCAGTGGTTACCTCCTCATGCTCTACTCCAAGCTACTATTCCGTCAACCCGAAAAGAAGATCATGAAATTATTATGATGGTTGGTTTGCCTGGTGCTGGTAAGAGTACTTGGGCTGAAGAGTATGCAAGGAAGCATCCAGAGAAAAATTTCTATATTCTAGGAACAAATGCGATAATTGACAAAATGAAAGTGATGGGGCTCAAGAGACAGAAAAACTATCATGGGAGATGGGATGTCCTTATAAAGCAAGCCACAGATTGTTTGAATAAAATTTTTAAAGTTGCTGAGAGAAGAGTTCGAAATTATATTCTTGATCAAACAAACGTGTACTTTACTGCCAGGAGAAGAAAAATGAACAACTTCAAAGGTTATAGGCGAATCGCAGCTGTCGTTGTGAATACGCCAGAAGAACTTAAAAAGAGAACCGAAAAAAGGGAGAAAGACGAAGGCAAATTTGTACCAGAATCTGCTGTGAAAGAAATGATGGCAAATTTTTCTCTACCTGAAGTAGGGGAAAGCTTTGATGAGGTATGGTTTGTTGAAGAAGAGGGTCCAAAAGCCATCCAACTGGTTGCCGATTTCAAGAAAGATGGCATGTTATTCAAACAAGCTGGACAAAAACGTGGAATAGAAGATTCAAGCCAGCCTGATAGCAAACGTTTTGCTTCCAGTCAGGATGGTTTTTCTCCCAGAGTGGGTCCCAGAGGACCATCTCCCAGAGGGGGTCCGGGTGGGTATGCAGCAGGAGGTCCGCCTCCTCTATCAAGAGGTCCTCCACCCTTTGCAGCTAGAGGACCACCTCCACTCGTAGGAGATGGACCACATAGAGATTATTACCCTCGAGGTGTAACTTCTGATTACCGAAGTCCTTCCGGGGGTGATTATGGCAGAGGTCCACCTGCACTCAGAGGACAATCACCTCCTAGAAACACTTACCAGCCGCC